AAAATATCTTTGCTCATCACGACTCGGAGGGAGGTGTTATGGGTTGAATTATATCCCCCCCAAAAATTTGTATGTTGAAGTCCAAACCCCTAGTATGAAGGTACTCAAAAAGTTTGTGAAAAATGGGGCCAGCCCGGTGGCGCACTCGGGAGAGTGCGGGACTGGGAGCGCAGCAACGCTCCCTCCGCAGGTTCGGATCCTATGTAGGACTGGCCGGTGCACTCACTGGCTGAGCGCGGTGCGGGCGACACCACACCAAGGGTTGTGATCCCCTTACCGGTCACGAAAAAGACAAAAAAAAAAAAAATGGAATTGAAAGATAATATGAATCTTTCCATGAACAATTTTGAAGACCCCTCATATATTAGAATGTAATCATATTTAAAAACAGGGTCTTCAGAGAGGTAATTAAACTAAAATGGGGTCAGTAACATGGGCCTTAATCCAATATGACTGATATCCTTATAAGAAGAAGAAATTTGGACAGAGAACACACACAGAGAGAAGACTAGGGAGAAGACGGCCATCTACAAGCCAAGGAGAGAGGCCTCAGAAGAAACCAACCCCGCTGACAACTTGATCTTGGGTTTCTAGTCTTCCGAACTGTGAAACAATACATTTCTGTTGTTTAATCCACCCAGTCTGTGGTACTTTGTTATGGCAGCCCTAGCAAACTAATACAGGGAAGGTGCTGCTGGCATCCAATAAGTTGAAGCCAGGGATGCTGCTAAACATCCCACAACTCACAGGACGGCCTCCACCACAGAGAACAATCTGACCCCAATATCAGTAGTGCTGTGGTTGAGAAACCCTAGTCTGAGCTTAGATATCCATCCTTTCCTAGAATTCCTCTCTGACCCCCAAGATGAACTTCTCATGCAACATGCTTCTATTGTATCCCAGTCNAATTCCTCTCTGACCCCCAAGATGAACTTCTCATGCAACATGCTTCTATTGTATCCCAGTCTTCATTTCAAAATCTGACCACCCAGACAGATTGTGAGCTCCACAGATGGGGCGGGGAGGGGGCGTCAATGTGTTCTTTCCAACTGTTTCCCAGTACCCATCTCTCCACAGGGCAACCCTCTTAAGAAGTAATGAGGTAAAGCCAGGCCAGAGGTTTACAAAAATATACTGAGGAGCAACACACAACCTAAATCTGAGAATCACATACCGTCAGTAATATAATACAGATTCCAAATGCAGGATTGGATGTTATTTTTAAGAAACCAAGGTTATTATGCTTACTAGAAAGCAAGAGGCAAAGAAACAAATACCTTGCCATTGAAACTAAAATGTTATCTTCCAGAATTAATTTTTTCCCCCACTTCTCAGGAGAAGTGGCTTTGAACCTCATTTTTTTAAAGCTCAGTTAAAACATATACTATTTATAGTAAATTCAACTATAAATTTTCAAAATCAACATAATTGTGTAGTCAAGAAATTAATGTTGCCCCAAGAGAGGTCTGGCCTTTGCCACAGCTGAGTGGTTCCCTTTTTTTAAATTAACTTTCTTTTTCATTTTTTTAAGTGCCAAATAAAAATTGTATATATTTGTGGATAATGATGTTTTGAAATATGTATACANTTAAGTGCCAAATAAAAATTGTATATATTTGTGGATAATGATGTTTTGAAATATGTATACACTGTGGAATGACTAAATCAAGCTAAGTGATACATGCATTATCTCACATACTTATGGTCCTGCTCTTTCTTAACAGAAAAGCCTATGACCAATAAAAGAAAAAAGAGTCCCAGCACAAAATCCTTAGAAAGTGCCTTTCCCCTTGAACACAAAAATATGAGAGATGGCTTTATGTATTCTCTCCTTACAGGGCCACAGCAGTGCCTGTGGTCAGTGAAAACAAAGGCGGGACAGGATGCAAGTCTCCAACAAAACACGAGGACAGCAGGGCCCTCTGGCTGCATGTTCCACATGTCACTCACCAGAAGCCCTGGCCACCCACGGATCAGGGAGGCCCAGCATGGGCTCCAGCATGTCCACTCTCTGAATATGCACAGCCGCCTTCAGTCCCTGGACAGAGTGACAAGGGTCACAGATTAGAGTCACATGGCCAAGGGAATCTGCTCACACTTATTGTCCCTAACTGAATTTGCATGTTGGCCCTGCTGTGGGGAATGGATAAAAGACGAGATACACCTGTTCACCTTGTCGAGATTTACCTAATCCTTGAATAGAAAGCAATTCACTGTAATAAAAGTTGAACTACAAAATGGGATGGAGAGAGGGTTCCCGTGTTGGGGAGGCAGCCTCTGAGGAGTCTCCTGCAGTGGGGAGATGCTGGACAAAGGGGCGATTGAATGGCCAGCAGATTCAGGAGCGGCGGGAGGATGCGGAGGTAGACCCCAGCCAGTGAGGGACAGTTGTTCAGTTATTCCCGGAAGGAAGACCTGTCCTCCAAGAAAGGATTTGAACTCTTCTGGTGGCTGCTCCATCGGGAAAAATGCCAGACCTGACTTGAATTTCTAAGGTCCTCCCCTCTCCTCTGTGTTGGGGGGGGGGGC